GCTTTCAGCTTTTCACCATTAAGTATGATGTTAGCTGTGGGTTTGTCATATATGGCCCTTATTATGTTGAAGCCTATTCTCTCTGTACCCTCTATACTTTGTTGAGAATTTTTATCATAAATAGACATTGAATGTTGTCAAAAGCTTTTCTTCATCTATTAAGATGATCATATAATTTTTACACTTCAGTTTGTTAGTGTAGTGTATTAGATTGATTGACTTGCAGATATTGAAACATTCTTACATCATGAGAGGAAATCTCACGTGGTGAGAGTTTATGATCCTTTTAATGTATTGTTGAATTTGGTTTGCTAATATTGGTTGAGGATTTTTGCATCTATGTCTATCAGAGACATTGGGCTATAATTTTCTCTTTTTGTGGCGTCTTTTCTGGTTTTGGTATCAGGGTGGAGCTGACCTTGTACAATGAGCTTGGAAGCCCTCTTTCCACTTCAATTTTTTGCAACAGTTTGAGAAGGATAGGTGTTAACTCTTGTTTAAATGTTTGGTAGAATTCACCTGTGAAGCCGTCTGGTCCTGGACTTATGTTTGTTGGGAGTTTTAAAATTACTGACTCAATTCCATTCCTGGTAATATCTGTTCAAATTTTCTATCTGTTCATGACTCAGTTTTGGAAGATTGTATGTTTCTAGGAATTTATCCATTTCTTCTAAATTGTCCATTTTATTAGTATATAATTGTTCATAGTAATTTCTTAGGATCCTCTGTATTTCTGTGGTGTCAGTCATAACTTGTCTTCTTTCATTTATGATTTTATAGATTTGGACCATGTCTCCTTTTTTCTTGATGAGTCTGGCTAAAAGTTTATCAAGTTTATCTCTTCAAAGACTAAGTTTTCTACTTTTTTTTTAACTCTCTATTTCATTTACTTCTGCTCTGATCTTTATTCTGCCTTTCTACTACTGGGTTTAGTTTGTTATTCTATTTCCAGTTTGTTTAAGGTTGGATTATTTATTTGAGATTTTTCTTGTTTCCTGAGGTAGGCTTGTATCACTATAAACTTCCCTCTTAGAACTGCTTTTGCTTCATGCCATAGATTTTGAACCAGTGTATTTCTGTTTCTGTTTGTCTCCAGGTATTTTTTAAATTTCCTCTTTGATTTCTTCAGTGAACCACAGGTTGTTTAGTAGCATATTGCTGACCCTCTATGTGTTTGTATTTTTTGCAGTTTTTCTAGTAGTTGATTTCTAGTCTTAGACTATTGTGGTTGCCAAATATATTTGATATGATTTCAATCTTAATAATTTTATCAATACTTGTTTTGTGTCCCAGTATGTGATCTATCCTGGAGAATGTTCCATATGTACTTGAAAACAGTGTGTATTCTGCTGCTTTTGGATAGAATGTTCTATAAAAGCCTATTAAGTCCAACTGGTCTAACATGTCATTTACTGCCAGTGTTTCCTTATTAATTCTGTCTGGATAATCTGTCCATTGATGTAAGTAGGGTGTTAAAGTTCCCTACTATTATTGTGTCACTGTAAATTTCTCCCTTCATGTTTGGTCCCAGAGGTCTCGTAAATTATCCTCATTTTTAAAAATTCTATTTTTCTTTTTTCTGTTCAGCATAGGTGATTTCCATTACTCTTTCAATTCTCTGATCCATTCCTCTGTATCATCTAATCTACCATTGATCCCCTCTAATGTATTTTTTATTTCAATTGTTTATTTTTCAGCTCTGTTTAGCTATTCTTTATATTCTCTAACTCTTTGTTAAAATTCTCACTGTGCTCATCTATTCTTCTGCAGAGTTCATTGAGCACCTTTATGATCATTACTTTAAATTCTTTATTGGATAGATTGCTTTCCTCCACCTCATTTAGTTATTTTTCTGAAGTTTAATTTTGTCCCCTCATTTGGAACATATTCCTCTATCTCTTTGTTTTGCCAAATTATCTGTATTTATTTCTATGCATTAGGTAGGTTGGTTACATTTCCTGATCTTGGAGAAAGGGCCTTATGTAGGAGATGTCCTATGAGGCCCAGCAATACTCTCCCATCTGGTCACCAGAGACGTATGATCTAGGGGTGCCCCCTATGTGGACTGTGTGGGCCCACCCATTGCAGCTGTTCCAACTTCTCTGGGTGCACTGTAGGCAGGGCTGGCCCCTGGCCTGGTTGGCTGCCAGGTTCTGCCCTTTACTGTGGTCACAGGCCAGCTGGTGGGCGGGACCAGTTCCTAGTGCAGCTGGCTGTGGGGCCCAGGAGATCTTGGGGCTGTGTTGGCCCATTATTTGGTGTGGCCAGGTCTGAGGGCAGCTGGCTATGGGGGCCAGGGACACCCTGGCTGGTGCTGGCCCACCGATGAGCAGGGTTGGGTCCTGGTCACTGGCTGTAGGGCCCAGGTTGAGCCTGGGGCTGGTGCTGACCTGCTGGTGAGGGGGTAAGCCCCCAGCACTAATAAGATAGAGGGAGAATTCCCAAAATGGTGCTTGCCAGCGCCAGTGTCCTTGTGGTAGAATGAGCTCCACAAAATGACTGCTGCCAGTATCTACATCCCCAAGGGGAGTTCAAGTTGCTTCCTGCATCTCTGGGAGGACTGCCAAGATGAGCAAGCAGTCTGACCCAGGCTTCTTTCAAATACTGCCTGTGCACTGAAACTCTGAGCATGTGAGATTTTGTGCATGCAAAGAGCAAAGTCTGTTTCCTACAGCCCTCTGGCTCTCCCATAGGTAAGCCCTGCTGGCCTCAAAGCCAGACATTCTGGGGACTTGTCTCCAAAGTGCAGGATTTCCAGGCTGGAGAGCCCAATGTGAGGCTCAGATCCCTTGCTCCTTGAACCTCTGCAATTGTGATTATCCCCTCACTCATGGGTTGCCTACTGTGGGGTGTGGGTGTTAACTATAGCACGTCTCATTATGGTTGGTTCCTTCTTTATAACTTTAATTGTGGAAAATGTTTTCTGCTCGTCTTCAGGTCTTTCTCATCAATATTTGCGCTATAAATACTTGTAATTTTGATGTGTCTCTGGGAGGGGGTGAGCTCAGGGTCTTCCTGCTCCACCATTTTAGCCACACACTTGGCATTTTTTTTCTAATATTACAAAATAACTAAGAATTATTATTCTCATTATACAAATGAGGCAGATGGGGCTCAGGAAGTTCAGTATTTACCCAAGGTCACACTGCTAGTAAGTCATGAAGCTGGAATTCAAAAGAAGTACAACTTTGCAATGAAAATAAAATGAATCTTGAAGACTTACCCCCATATTTCTTACAGTTTGTCTCATAAAATCACTACATGTAAAGGGCCGTAAGTCCTTCTGCACAAAAGTTCTTTGGAATTAGACTTATAGTTAGAAACTGAAGCCCAGAATAGATAAGCAATGTGACTAAGGTGCATCCCTTTCACACATAGTGTCAGAGCAAAAACCGAACACAACTCTGATTCTCAGATCACGGCTCTTGCTGATGTATTAGATTTCTTCTGCCATATCTCCCCTACTTTTAACTTACCAACTTTCTCAGCTTCAAATCAATTTTGATTAACTGCCTCTAATAAACATTTTTAAAGAAAAAACAATACGATAATGATCAATAATGGATTGACAGCCATCCTGTCACTAGTCTTATACTCTCGGTAATCATCTCTATGGGAAAATGACCACTTGCAGGTAAAAACTTAAAAGGTTATGCTTTGTCAGTCAAAATAGCCTGTCTCATTTTTAAACAATGTTTTAATTTCTTTAGTACATCAGTGCTGTGATCATTGTAAACACATGATCATTGAAAACAAGTCCTTTTGATTTTGCATAAGATAATACCTTCTGGAAAGTGAATAAGATGTGGAATTACTCTGAACAAACATTTTACCCCCAATATTACAACCCTGGGTGGCCCCAAGCATTTACAAATGCTGAAAAATATCTTCAGATACAACTAATTTTATTATTCTTTGTTTTCCTCTGAGCGCAACAGGAAATTCTTAAGCTGCCATTTCAATTGCAAAAACAAATTATGTGTGATCCTTTCCTCACTTCTCTCAGAGTGACTCTTTTTGTTCAAGCAAGGATCAAATAGAAATGGCATATATTAACTTCTAATTTTCTAATGATATCCAAGCCAAAGAAGGTATTATTGACCTAAGAGCCAATAATAAATGCAATAAATCTTTATTCACTATGGGTTATCGCCCAAACTTTTACTTGACTACAGTCCATTTAAGGAAGAAGCATTTTAGTTTTAAGTGTTGATCATAAAATACATAATCATTAATGGAGTAGAGATATATCTTTTATGGGAGTTTCCTTTTTACCGCCTCAGACTGCTCGTCAGTAACAAAAATTGGTTAGAATTTCCCTTTCCCATTAGGTAGAATTATTCCCTTGACTGGTGACATCAATGTATCTGAAACAACCCATCTGCAAGGCTGACAGCCTGGCCTAAAATGTGCCAATAAAAGGAGCAGAAGCAGGAGTTGGCATTTGAGAGAAAGCTATTGTAGTCAGTCAAAAGCAGGAAAAGTCAGGCAAGACGTATCTATGCATTAGATTGCCCCATACCTGTCATACTTACAGTTATGCTATACATAAATATTTAACTCTTGAATATGTATCTTAAAATAAATAATGTGATTGAATGATTTTTTTTAGAACGTTGGGCTTAACATATTCAAAATACCTTCCATTTAAATAAAAATGTTAGAAACAGAATATTATGTTGAATCAGAGCAATTTGATAATGATTTAAAGTGGGAGCATATGTTATATACTCAATTATGCTACGGTATCTCAAAAATAAATTACTAAATTAAATATTACTAAATGCTAAAAGAATTTTCTTAAATGTATCTCTCTTTTTGATCATTAAAATAAATATATTAAAACATGCAATATAAGTTCACTGAAATCACGAATTATTAAAAGTACTCTGGGATATTAGTAAATTAGTAAAGAACAAATACTGATAGCTCTATCCATGTCAACAAAAGCACTTGAACATTTTTTCAGCCCCTTGATGTTGTAGCTTACCCTACAGTACCTTTCTCGTGAGTCAGATATTGATGGTTGAAGTCGTGGAAAAGGCACAAAAGTGGAGCCACAAGGAACTATCTGTGGAGACATTATGATCTTCTGCTCAGATATTTGTTCAAGAGAAAGAAATGTGTTTACAGCCACAAACTCCTTTCATCCAGTTGCAAGATCAAAGGAATTAAGACTTCTGTTTTTACCATGACTTTAGAAAGATTTGATAGGGTGTCAACATTTCGGCTCCAGCAGCTGATTCTAATTTATTTAATGCTATCTGTAATTCTGCGTTGCTTGACAGACGATTAAGGAAATGTTAATGATGCAGGAAGACCAGCGTACGTTAACATAATTATTCCACAGAACACTGCATAGTGAATAAGTTGTCACACACTCCTCTCTATTTCTTTCTAAGAATCTTCTATTTATCTGTATTTAGTCTTGGGATGTTTGATGTTCAAAATACAGAAATATCACTTGTTTCAGAAAATACATAAACTTTTCTCTGGTAAATTATGAAGAATTTGAAAAAAATAGATTTGTAAAAGAAAAGAATCTGAAAAGGAATAGATACGTATATGTATAACTGAATCACTTTGCTGTACAACTGAAATGAACACAACATTGTAAATCAACTATACTTCAATAATAATAAAAAAAAGAAAGTATCACACTATCCTCAAGAAAAAGGTCTTTGTTATAAATTCAGACTTCATGCTGAAAACAAAACAAATTCAGATGCTAATTTTCAGAAAAGTCCATGGTACTGAGACCATGCTACCAAACACACAAGCCTTACAACTCAGAACAATATGAGTGATCATATTTCAAACAGCAAGGGCTTTCTGCAACTAAAATATATATACACACTAAATGTTAAATTCCAAGAGGACATTATTGTTTAGCATGGCCCTTTAAAATGGCTGACATATTGAGGGACACAGTAAATGAGGAGAAGGTTCTTCTAGGCATAACTGGAATGGCAGAGTATATGAAAGAAAAAAAAATATATATGTATGAATTAATAAAAATACAGACATACATAAAATATACAAGTCTCATTAAAAGGCAGTGATAATGTTAGGAAGATATTAGCAATTTATATGATAACAATGGTGCACAGAAGTATATAAACTTTTTTCTTTTGTAGCCTCACTCATTATAATCTTGCTTGGATTGTGAAAAATCAAAGCAATGTAACTGCCCAATAATAGAAAATCAGATAAAAATATTTTTGGTACATCAATAATATGGAATAGTAAGCCATCACAAATAATGATGGAAAGCTAATCATAATATATTATTAAGTGGAAAACCAATAAATAAACAAACAAAAATAGGTTACCAAATACCATTGTCGTTTTATTCTGTTTAGATAAAGCCCATACATTTCAAAATAGAAAAAAAAAATCTGGATTATTATACACCAAGTTATTAGCATTGATGAAATTATGCTTTTGTGGGTTTTTTGAAGTTTCTGGTGGTTGTTGTTAATCAATTATTTTCTACCTTTCCCGTAGTGACCACGTACTACTTATGTAATAAAAATAAAGCACTGGGCTTCCCTGGTGGCACAGTGGTTGAGAGTCCGCCTGCCGATGCAGGGGACACAGGTTCGTGCCCCGCTCCGGGAAGATCCCACATGCCACGGAGCGGCTGGGCCCGTGAGCCATGGCCGCTAAGCCTGCGCGTCCGGAGCCTGTGCTCCGCAACGGGAGAGGCCACGGCAGTGAAAGGCCCGCGTACCGCAAAAAATTTTTAAAAAATAAATTAATAAATAAATAAAGCACTAACTAAAGAAAATGAACCAGTTGTACCAAGTGACATCACTATCACAAAGTTTGACCACGATTTTACTTCCTAAAATGTGTATCCCTTCAAAATCACTTTCTGGATGTCATTTACAAAGATCCAAATAATTGCTCTCTGGTGACATGAGGTCATTTTAAAGTACGTCATGCTGGAAATCACATGACATCCAGAGTCAGAATTGAGAGCTCCTCATCCTAAATGCTACTTACTAGTTAGTTCAGCTAATTAGACTTCAGGCCCTACCAGCTTCCCAGGGTTATTTGCTAAGCTCAGAAAAGAAGTTTAGAAGAACAAATCAAAGGCCAAATATTTACTGTAAATAGCAATTTTACAAAACATAAGTTCTTGACGTTATCACTATAGATCAAGCACTGTATTACCTAATATCCTTATTTACCTTATTAATATCCTTATTACCTAATATCCTTATTAAGTTATCCTATAACTTATATCCTTCTGCAGAGTCTCTGGAGGTTGCTTCTGTCGTTCCTTCTAGTACAATGTATGCGCTTTGCTGTTCAGAGCTTAGGAGGCACTTTCTTCAACTCAATGGAGCTGGACCCATACTTTTCCACCAGTCCCATCAGGGAGTCCCACAGTTCTCAGGGCAGAATCCCCAAGCAGACTTCCTAGAGAACAGGTTACCATCTGAGGATTATAATGTTGAGGGAAATGGACAAAATTCAGAGCCACAGGACTTGCATAGACTGGCTAGTCCCATAGGACTTTGAACAAACCAAGGTTACCTAACCGTTCTGAGACTCACAGTTTCCTCGAAGTGGTGAAATGGGGGTAGTAATTCTTACTTCCTAATGTTAACGAGAATGAAATGAGAATGCGTGTGAAATACCTAATATAGAAACTGACATAGTAGCCTCTCGATTTTCTTTCTCATATCCTTATTAGCCTGGTATTCTTAAGATAACCATCATTATCACACAAGGCTAATAAAATTTTACCCCACAGCAAATAGACATTTTAGTAAGGCGTCCCAGTATTATCACTAAGAAATGTAGATTTGTGGTAAGTTTATTGAAACAACAAAAATAACTCAAGGGTTCCGAGATGATTATAGCAGGATCTCTAGTCAGGCTGTACTACAGTCTCTCTCCATGAAGTAATCAGAGATGCCTTTATTCCAGCAATTTAATGTAATTAGACCATATGGCTGCTGGTGGAAGTGCAGAAGCACAGCTGAAGCAGTATTTCCTAGCATTTAGAAGTTTTATAAAGTGATGGCAGAGAGTACCTAGGTAGGCTTATCTGGGAACTAACTTTTTTGCTCTGCCCATGCATAAGCCATCAAAATCCTCAAATTGGTGATTTAGCTTCATTTGCTCAATACTACAATAAAGTGGGTTTTCTTAGTAAACAAAGCCTTCATTAGTCTTTTCTCCTTCTTAGGAGAGAAATGCCTTATCACATGCTCACATTCATTTATTTCACAGTGACTGCAAATGAGGATCAACAGAAATAATATTCTGACTTAAACCTTTAGTCCATGAAATATCTTTTCAAAACATCAGAGTTTGGGCTAACAGTGCACGCTGCCAGGAACAACTCATTCTGACTCTGAATAGTATCATCAACACCAACAGTAGCCAAGCAAGAAGCAGGGAAAAGTAGGTGATTTGTACCATTTCCATGTAATGTATTTGGACATCATTTGAGTTTCCAGAACTAAGTTAACAGAGCCATTCAACAGCTAAGTTCATTTTTAAACTTCATATGCTGGAGCCCTTTAACATTTCTGAGCTCAAACTTGGAACATGAGTCTTACTAACCAGAAAGGGAGGAAAATGTAGAGATAAACAAACGAGAAGACAGAATCCTTGAGACCACCATATGTTTCTTATTTCATACTAGAATGTTCAGTACACCTAGCAGGATTCTGTGTGCATAATATTTATTAAATGAAATAAAAAGAAAAAAGTCAAAAATTGTAACTATATTGCAACCTCCAATAATTTATCAGCAGAACACACTTTTCAATATATTTAACAATTCCCTGCAGCTGAGCCAAAATCAATTACCTCTGCTTTCTATTTGAACTTTTGCATGTAAAAAGGGATGTTTATAGGATAATATCCCGCTCTATTAATATGCTTTGATAAATAATCAAGTTGATGAGTTCTTCTTATGGAGAAAAGGAAACCCTCCTACACTGTTGGTGAGAATGTAAATTGGTGCAGCCACTACAGAGAACAGTATGGGGATTCCTTAAAAATGAGTTGCCATATGGTCTAGTAATCCCACTTCTATGCATATATCTGGAGAACACTATAATTTGAAAAGATACATGCACCTCAATGTTCATAGCAGCACTATTCACAATAGCCAAGGCATGGAAGCAACCTAAGTATCCATTGACAGATGAATGGATAAAGAAGATGTGGTATATATACACAAAGAAATCTTAGCCATAGAAAAGAATGAAATAATGCCATTTGCAGCAACATAAATGGACCTAGAGATTATCATACTAATATGTGGAATCTAAAAACAAAAAATGATACACATGAACTTATTTACAAAACAGAAACAGACTCACAGACTTAGAGAACAAACTTACGGTTACCAAAGGGAAAAGGTAGGGGGAGGGATAAATTAGGAGTTTGGGATTAACAGATGAACACTACTATATATAAAATAGATAAGCAACAAGGACCAACTGTATAGCACAGGGAACAATACTCAATATCTTGTAATAATCTATAATGGAAAAGAATCTGAAAAAGAATGTGTGTGTGTGTGTGTGTATAAATATATATACATGTACATATGTATATATATATCTCACTTTGCTGTATACCTGACACTAACACAACATTGTAAATCAACTATACTTCAATCAAAAAAAATAATAAAGGCAGTATCAGTAGCATATAGGAAGTGGGAAATCCAAACCACCTGACTCAGTTAATGACAACTCCAATGAAAAAAGACAACTGAAAACAACTCTAATAAGTATTTCAGAAAATGTAGTAAAATTGGGCTCTTTAAAAACAGTCCAAAAAATGTTTTTGAGTCATGCTCATTTTCTTTGTACATTTTTATAACCTTGGTTTTGTAGCATCATGACCTGATAGAAGGATATTATATGTAACACAAGTTATAGGTAATTATGTTCATAGGGAACCCTAATCTGAAGTATCTACAACTGTATATAATGTCAAGCCATATTAAAATGAGATTTTACTAAATTGTAAGACTCCGTTTTCAATATACCATTTGACTATCCTGATTCATTAGTCTCAAAATTTTCTAACTTC